CCTCTGTCAACCCATGTGGAAGGGAAGCCTATTCTTTTTGCAAATGACCTTGATATTCACAAGAATGGCTCAATCTTCTTCACTGATACCAGCAAGAGATACAACAGAGTGTAAGTATATATAAAAACTACATATATTTGGGGCAGACATGGGTAAGCCGGTTGGTTAGGATAGTAAACCCGTCCCTTACACCCAATTTTGAATTCCCCTCCCAATAGATTTGTATTAAAAAATACATATATATATTTGATTTACTGATCCTAATTAATTAGTGGAAATTAATCAAATTGCAGGAACCATTTCTTTATACTATTGGAAGGAGAATCCACTGGCAGGCTTCTGAGATATGATCCTCCCACCCAAACAACTCATATTGTCTTGGAAGGTTTGGCTTTTCCAAATGGGTTGCAGCTTTCTAAGGACCAAACCTTCCTTCTCTTTACTGAGACCACCAACTGCAGGTAATAATAATAAAACCTGAGGCCTTGGATTTTTTCGTGGAGGACAAAGCTAGGAATCTTAAGTTATCAAAATCAGCTTGAACATGTCCCAAGTTTAATTTCTATATTCAACTAGTCTTGTAAAAGTTAAGGAATTCCTGCCAAACTCAAAGCAAAATCCTTACAAGAAAAATACCTTGTGACAAAATGTCTTTGACCACCATATCGGTTTCAACTCAATATATATCTTGTAACAACACACTTTTTTTTTAATAGTCGAAAAGGGCTTTTTTCTTGTAGTGAATAATAATTATATATATATATATATATATGTGTGTGTGTAAGATGCCCCATTTATGAAAATCAGCTTGAGTATATATTCCAATTTGAGCTAGTACCTTGGGTACAATTTAATTCCAACCAATATTTCTACTGGTTGATTGAATTTTTGCAGGCTAATGAAATATTGGCTAGAGGGTCCTAAAAATGGGACAGTCGAACTTGTTGCTGACCTTCCAGGTTTTCCAGACAACATAAGAATAAATGAGAAAGGCCAATTCTGGGTTGCCATAGATTGTTGCAGGACCCCAGCACAAGAAGTCCTCTCTCACAATCCATGGATACGAAGTGTCTACTTTCGCTTGCCGATCCGAATGACCTACTTAGCGCGATTTATGGGGATGAAGATGTACACATTGATCTCCCTCTTCAATGAGAAGGGGGAAATTTTGGAAGTTCTCGAGGATCAAAAGGGTGCCGTTATGAAACTTGTGAGTGAAGTTAGGGAAGCAAAGGGCAAACTGTGGATTGGAACTGTGGCTCATAACCACATTGCCACCATTCCTTACCCTTAAGAATCATTTGGGTCTGTAGATGAATATCTTTGTTGTTCATACAAGCCTTTTAGCAACAGTATCTTAAATGGGTGGCTTGATTTATGATTTGTGTAACAGTATTGATAATTAGATGATTTGAGGTTTGTGGCTTTTTATTATTATTATATTTAATGTTTATTTATTTATTTTGGCCTGTGTGACTACTAAGCTTGATTTTTGACATGCGCTTGACATTAATTGTACGGTCAAACTTGTGATTATATTACTAATTATGTTGTGTGATTGGAAAAACACAAACCCCCCACCACTCTTCATATTAAGTTTTAGAAAAACACAAACTCCTCTACACCATATTGCCAGACTACTCTTCTTTTCAATCCAAGAAACCTACTATACTCTCATTTTCTCTTCACAAACCCTAAATACTATAAGCAAATAGTGGCTTGTGGGTCGTCAATTAGGGTATATAATGTGAGATTATTTCTTGGTTTGGGATTCCTCCCATAATTATTGAGGATGTTGTGATCAAAGACTTATTGTAATTTTGTTTGTTATCAATACATCATTTCTCTTCAAAAAAAATAAAAATAAAAATTGCAGAACATTGCATATGACATTAATATTATATTGTTTGATCATAATATGTTTTTATGAATAGTTGATGAGATGCATATGTCATAATATTATATTCAATCATTGACTAATATATATATATTGAATTGTTGAGATGTATTGCTTAATTGGAGTCGTGATTGGGTGTTCGGTGTGGGGTATGAGGTTGATGAGTTTTTTTATTTTTTATTTTTTTGTTGGGTGTGTATTTAGAGGTAGTTTGGGAAGATAGTGGGTTTTTCTTAAAAATTGTGAAAATTTGATTTAGAAGTTGGGATGAACTTAGAATAATTGGTGAATAAAGAGAAGTGCAGAGTTTAAATAGAAAAATCATTTATTTTTTTGGCTTTCACTATACACTAAACACTGAAAAATAAATATTTTCATATATGTGTTTACCTTTGCAAGTGACTCACATCCATCGATGCATTGTGAGTAGAGCTGGGCATAGAGGACTAAAAATCGGCCAAACCGGTTGGACCAAAAACTTGCCAAATAGGTTGAATCGAACTAGTTGGTCCGATTTGGCTTGGTTTTTTTTTTTGTGCACAGTGCATGAATCGGACCAAACTGGTGTTCATGGTTTAGCGCTCAATTCCTGATTTTAAAAACCTCCAGTTAATTTTACCGAACTGGATACATTAAATCATATTTAATTTAATAATTAATTTATACGTGGCTTATTTCTATTGGTTTGTTTTAATGTTATGTACACCTTTGCACAACATATCCTAGCCCTTAGTCATGCAACTTAATCTAGATTGAGTATGGTTCGGTACAGCATATCCAAACCTTAGAATATGGTTCGGCGTTATATTTCTTCCATCAGATTATTTGGGTCGCTTAGATTTCACAAAATGCGGGTATATGTACGAATTCTAAATGTAGAGGCTCGGGATCCAATATATATATATATATAAGGTTTTTAATTTTTCTCTTCCTGCCCTCTCTCCTTTCCCATATATATGGTCCCTTCCCTTGTCTTGAAATCTCATAATCAATTGATATTTTGTTCCTTTTCTTTTTTTATCAAGGTTTTTTTTCTTCTTTTAAATTGTTAAATTATAAGGGTGAGAGTATTTAAAGTTTCATGTAATGCTATTTAGACACACAAGATTGACCACATTTGCTGACAACCTTATGTGGCAGCTGATGTGGTCATTCCATGTAGATTTTATTTTTTATTTATTTCCTCTTTTTAATAATTATTAAAAACAAAAATAAAAGTGATTTTTGTTTTTTAAAGGGTCTCTGGACTTGGCTCCACTGCTCCCCTCTTCCTCCATCAAATCTACCCATCCCTTTCCTCCATTGTTGCTGAGATTTGGAGTTTTCTCAATAAAACAGAAACTAAAAAACCCTGCGTCTCTACGTTTCTTCTCCTTCACTCCCTTCCTCCATCAAATCAACCCATTTCCATTCTCCATTATTGTTCCACTGTGAAAGGAATTAACTACACTAAGAATTGAGTCTGTACCTCAACATTCAACCTCTTTGTGAGACAGGCTTTTGGAGATTAATTGACAAGTAAACCTCTCCATTCCTCAACCCACCCAAATTGTTCTTACTGGCAGTAGCCCAGGGACTCTAATTTCTTTTTTATTAAAAAACTCAACTCTCAGTAACAACAATGGAGGATGAGGATGGATAGATTTGGAGGAGGAAGGGAGGGCATGAGAGAGACAGAGTAGAGAATGATGTGAGGCTATAGACGTTATGGTTTTTTTTAATTTTTAATTTCAAATTTCAGCAACAATGGAGGATGAGGATTGGTAAATTTGATGGAGGAAGAAGGGAGCGTTGGAGACGAAAATTCCAGGGATGCTTAGGGTTTTTTTTTTTTTTTTTTTCACTTTTAGTTTTTTTTTTTAATAATTTTTAAA